ACCTTGGCTCTGGGCAGTGGGCAGGCTGCTTCACCTCTGGGCAGTGGGCAGGCGGCTTCACCTCTGGGCAGTGGGCAGGCGGCCTCACCTCTGTCCCCCACCTTGGCTCTGGGCAGTGGGCAGGCGGCCTCACCTCTGGGCAGTGGGCAGGCGGCCTCACCTCTGGGCAGTGGGCAGGCGGCCTCACCTCTGTCCCCCTGTCTGGACTCCACTTGCAGAAGCCCCCTGTGGCTCCAGGTTCCGTGCTGCTGCGCCTCAGGTCTTGACAGTCGGCTGCTTCCGCAGGGCCTTCCAGCACAGGTCCACCCCCAGCGAGGGGGGCAGGGCCACTCACTCAGCTGCCACCTGCTGCTGTCCTTGATGGGAGCCCCTGCCGGGTGACTTCCCTGGCCCTGGGTCCACCACAGCTCTCAGCCTGTGTGTGCCTGAGGACCTGGGCAACACTAAGACGGCATCAGAGGGCTTTCTGGACTTCACTTACATTTGGGTAGTGGCCACAGGTCCCATGGAGAGCTCCCAGCACCCCTCAGTTCACACGCAGGACAAAGCCAAAAGGGGAGACCCTTTTGCCATTCCCACCTTAGACCTGGGGACAAGGCTCGACTTTTTCTGCTGTACCTGAGGCCACAGAGGGAGGTGGGCCAGGCCACAGTGGACTCCCCTGGGGCCTGCAGGTTCGCCTGCTGCACTTCCCGGGTCTCCTGCGCAGAGCTTCTCTCTACTCATCCCAGAGGGCAGGGAGGTCCTGCTGCAGGCGCTCTCCAGGTTGCCCCTGAGCCTGGAGGACTGAGAGCGCTGCTGCTCCTGCGGCAGAGCTGAATCTGGGCTCGTTCCCTGGGAAGCAGGAGCACCTGCAGGGCAGCAGCTCAGATGTGCAGCCTGGSCCTGGGAGCACACCCCTCTGCTTATTTTAGCTGGAAGCTGTGCTATAATTATAGCTGGTGCCATATTCTAAAACCAGCCTGTGAGCTGCCGCCAGGCTTCAGGTCAGGAGCTGCTATTCCTGGACGGCTCGGGCCTGGAGAAGCCCTGGAGGCAGCGCCCCGGCTGCCTCGGGTGGGCGGGGCCAGGCGCTGGGAATGGCAGCAACCTTGAGGCAGATACCAAGGCCAAGAAGCCTGACCACCAGGTCCCTCGGGTCCACGGGTCCTTCCCTAGCTCTGGAGGGATTTTATGCTTGTAATAGAGATTTGTTTTTCTTTAAAAAAAAAAAAAGCTTCCAAATTGTATAAGTTTCAGGCCCTCTAAAATCTGGATTAGCCTCTGCTTTCAGAGGAGAATATCACTTTAGACTTTTCTTGTTTTGATTTGGTTCCTTCTTCCAACCTCGGTCTGGAGTCAGGAAGGCAAACAGTCATCATCTCACTTGTTAATCTTAGAACTCATGTGTGGTGTTTTGAGAGATCCGTGGCTCTGGAGGTGGACTAGCCATGTCTGCCTTGGGCTCTGCAGGAGAGTGCTGGAGTGGATTGATGATGCCTGCCTGGTCACACCAGGTATTGATGGGCAGAATCCTGTTGACTTCTGCTACCTTCCTTCCATGGACTGAGCTGGCACGTTTTTCAGTGCCAGACTCTGGTAGGAGAGGGGTTTGTGGTCCGGGGTCTTGTTTTGGTGCTGGTGGCTGCTGTAGTTCAGAGAGGCTCCATGTGGACCTGTGTGCCTTAGGACATTCAGTGTCCACCAGAGGCTGCCCATCCTGCCTGTGCTGCCCTGTGCTACGGACCACTGGGGGTCCCCACGCCCAGAAACGTGCCCAGGGAGAGCTGAAATGCTCYCGCCACAGGGGCCTTTCTGGGTGACCAGCTGCCTCTGCCCAGAGGATTTGTCCTCTCTCACATGGACAGCCATACCATGATGACTTGGGTAGGGGAACTCCTGCTCCCTAAAAGGGTGTATCAGGCTTTTATTGGCCAGGAATTATCCTCTGGACACTCAGGCTCTGCCTGTTACACAGAGGGCTGAGACCAGATCCAAACCCAGTGGCTGCTGGACACACACAAACTGACCAGGACTGAGAGCACAGGCCATCCCTGTGCAGGTCGACGAGGAACCATTTGATTCCACCACAGGACTCAGTTTTCAGGGTTGATCTGGGTTTGACTCCGGTGGCTCACTGCCTCTCCATGGGTCTGCACTGAGCTGGAAAGGTGTGGGTGAGTTGTGGAAGGCAGGCTGACACGCAGAGGCTGGGACCCAGCTGCACCCTGGCTGGAGGCCAGGCCAGGGCCCTGCAGTCTGTACTGGACACAGCCTCAGACCTAACACGTGGTAGGTGGGTGTGGCCAGGGCCTCCGGTTCTAGCCACAGGGCCTAACGCTGTCGGTGGGAACCCCTCCCTTGACACTTTCCCTGCACTCTGCCCAGTGGTGGCTCCTGGGCTCCAGRGTGAGGGGAGGCCTCCTGTGGACCCGGTCCCAGGAGGGTGGTGTGACTGTGGCTCCCTCCCTCCCTCTTCTTGGTGCTCTACTCGAGGCTGCAGGGGAGCAATGCGTCTGGCAGAGCTGTTGGCCGATGGCCCCACTTCCCATTCAGAGGACCCACAGGAACCCCAGGAGAGCCGGGGGAAGAGAGAGGACAGTAGCCCTGAGGTTTCTCCTGGATTCACCAGCCCCCATGCACAGAACTCGAGAACGGAGCTGGGGCAGAACGGCAGGGTCCCAGGCTGGCACTGGGTGGGCACCTGGTGGGCATAACATACTGTACACATTGGAAAGTGAGCTGTCACAGCCTGCAGATTTCATCTTGGTGGACACCCTGAAGAATCAAAAGTAACCTTCTCCAGAGGCTTTAACTCCGATTCAGAGTCTTTAGACAACATTCAGAGTGTCTGAGAATGAAGACGACGTGGCGTGAACCAGGAGATCACTACTTGCACGGTAGAAGGTGACCATGGACCTCCATGCTGAGATGACCGAAATGTTAGGATTACCTGAGGAAGACTTCAAAGCGGTTCTTACACAGATAATCCAACAGGGGAATACGAATACTAGAAACAGGAAGATAGGAAGTCTCTGCAAAAAAAATGTATGAGAGACAGAGAGGTAAAGACACATGGAAATCCGAGACCTGAAGAAACGCATCAACTGAAATAAATTTAAAAATGATGAGCAAGGCTGCTGCCACATATGCTGCTGCCATGCCTGGAGGTCTCTTCTGGGCACAGCCTCGGTTACTTGGACACAATTCTGACGCGACCTCCTGGGTCGCTGCTGCTGAAACRGAAGTCTCCTGTCAGTCAACAGCCACCTGCACCACTACCCCCACTGCTGCTTCCTCCGACTCTGCTGCGGCCAGCCTGAGGTCGCTGGAGGTCTTCTGTCTGGTTGCTGCTGCCCAGAAGAAACCGTGGCCCCCAGGCAACTGAGGTCCACACTGCTGCTGACCCCCGGAGATGGCCTGGTGACGCTGCCCCCACAGCTGCCATTGCCCCCACCGCTGCTGCTGACCCACTGCCTGCTGCAGCAACCACTGCCACTTCCCC